TGATCCTGCTGCAAGCTTGTTATAGAGAGTTGGATCAATATGGTACTATCCTCCTTAGGACAATTGGCTCACAACTGTCTCTCTATTCAGCATCTTCAAATCTATCAATCATTTATTGTGATGATCAGAGGTTTGGAGCACCTGTGAAGACAAGGCTGAGACAGTTGGGGTTGTTCAGCCTGGAGAAGATGCTATGGAGATTTTATAGCACCTTCTTGAAAATAAAAGGCTCTAGAGAGACCTGACACCACTTTCCAGAACCTAAAGCAGGCTACAAGAAGGCTGGAAAGGAACTTTTTGACAAGGATGTGTAGTGAGAGTACAAAGGGGAACAGCTTTGAACTAAAAGAAGGGAGATTTAAATTAGCAATTAGGAAGAAATTATTTATTCATAGATTAGTGAGGCAATGGACAGGATTCCAGATGTTGTGCCAGCCCCATTCCTGGAAACGTTCAAGGACACCTTGGTAGTGGTTTGAGCAACCTGGTTTAGTGGAAGGTGTCTCTGCCCATGGCAGGGGGTCCATAAAACAACAGTCTCTAAGATCCCTCCAATTACACTTTGCTGTGTTTCTGTCTGGTTTAGAGAAAGGAGTGGAAAACCCAAATTTTTAGCTGTATTTGGTGGATTTATGAGACATAATCGGATCTTTAGAGCTTTACTTTTGAAAGTACTCATATTTGATGAGATAACCACTTTTAATGAAATATTCAATAAAACAGAGGAGTTAGAGCAAAAAGCCAGAACAAAAGTTGCCAGCTATATGAGTCATCAGTAGGTCAGCTCCAAACATGATTTCTGTTTTTCAGTTTGGATTGGCAAAATAAGTTCTTTCCTTTAACCAGATGGGCTTTGTATGCTAAATCAAACATTCCCTCAGAAACACGGCATTTCAAATTATTTACTTAAACAATTTTAAAGGCATAGCTATACAGACTGTTTGATACATAATTCAAATAAAGATGTATCTTTGTATCATCTCAATCTTTTCTTAACTGAGTGTACTGTTGGTGAGCTTTTTATCTAACATTCCTGGATCAGTAATTTGTTAAAATAAATATATTATTCCTAGGAAAAATACTGTTGTTTGGGTTTTGGCCTTTTTACTTTTTTTCAATGAAAACATTTTTTTTAATTGAACTTGACAAGAAGGACTGCAAAGTTATTTTAGGGTCAAAACTCAGGTTCTTTTCTCCTTAAGTTCTAGCAGACACTTGACTTTTTCTTTTCCAGAGGCATGAGATAATAGCTCCCCTAGGGCTTTGGCTATCTCCCAGAATAAAGGAGCAGAACTGTTTTTAATGATATTTATCTGTGCATACTGGCTGTATTGATTCTTTTTCCAATAAAATGTGGAATGAGACTTTCAAGTAAAGCTACACTTCTCCTTTGGAGTTCCTGATCCAGCTGGGAGTTTTATTGAAAACTACCCCATGTGAGACTACTGACAGTGTAAGAATTAAGAGTTCTAGAACAATTTAAAGTATTAATATATGGAGAGAAAATTATTGAGGGAGAAAAAAAAAAAAGTATCTTAATGGGGCTTCTAGTTATCTACCTGCAGAAGTTTGTCATTGCTCTTTGAAATCATACATGTGTTTGGAACATTTATGCTCAAGTTGGCAGTGCAAATCACACAGCCCCACATTCTCAAGGATTCCTCTTGCAGCCTCTGATCTGTACCTGATCCATAATTGCATCATTATTGACTGTAAATCATATTATCTTGTCACATTTTGCTATGTATTCTCATAGCAATCTCCCTAGTTAAAAAATATCTTTAATAATATGATTTCATGTGCTTGTCAAAGGCTCTAAAAATGTGTAAACAACCATTTTTATGTATGTGGAAACAAAAGTATCTGATTTTCTTTTATATTGACAAATATACTTCCTTCAGCCATTCCTAGGCAGTCAGGGAACTGCACTCAAATAATGTTCATTTATTCACCTCTTCTCCTTTAAATTTTCTATATCCTTTCTCCTTTTGAAGGACTGGAAGTAGAATTCATATTCTCTGATAGAAATCCAAATGTCGCATATTATTCAACAGTTGGTTATTGCTTTAAAATAACATTACAAAAAGTTTAGAGAAAGCAGAAAAGGAAAGAACAAAAAAATTCCCTCATGATCCAATTTAATCTGCAAGTGACATTTAAATAGGAAAAAAAGTGAAGATATTATTTGATCAAGATTCAGAGATGATTTATGACTTCTCTTGTGATAAAAGCCAGAGGCTTTCAGCATGTATGAATACTCCATTGTGCTGGATGCTTTACATAGCATACTAAATTTCAGGCCCCTTTACCGTCCTATATTAAGAATTTTTTAGAAGATACTGTAAGGATCATCTAGATTCTTACTCCCTCTGCCAGCAACAAATGTCTTGAAAAAATATTGCCTACTTCAATTTTAAGATTCCTCTTATTAACAAAGAACTGACATCTAATAAAACAAAAGACAAAAGGTAGATATTGACAGAGGAAAGAATGAGAATAAATGAAAGAATAATATAGGAATCTCAGAACACAAGGCACTGGTGTTATCTTAGCTCACTTCAGATAATTTTGACACACAATTTTGAACTTGAAAGCTACGTCTTTTTTCACACAGTCAATGACAAGAAATCAGCATATCTCGACTGAGTCATTTAAGTAATTTCAATAATTTCAGCTCTAGTATGATGTGTATTACTCCATACAAGTGTCCATATTTTTCATAAAGCAAGCCTAAAATGACTGGCTGAGATTAAGAGTATGTCCCAAGTAATCTTTATGCATGATGTAGCCCTGCTTTCTTGGAGATGATTGTAAACCTGCCTGCTGATGGAAAGTTGTGAATTAATTCCTTATTTTCACTTTGCTTACGTGTGCAGCTGTTGCCTTCCCTTTTAAACTGTTGAATGAAAACTCACAAATTTTTTACACATTTTTACATTTTTATACTTTCAAATATGTCTTACAACCTGCTGGGAATAGAGAGGGTGGTGAGCAAGTGGCTGTGTGGGGCCAAGCTTCCTCCTAGGGCTAAAGCACAAAATAATACATACAATTTCAATAATGAAGCAGTTATTTATTGGCTAACACAGTAGCAATGGCTAAAATCTAAGGAGCTCATTGCCTAAGCTTTGGTTCATCATCCTAGTAAGTTACCTGAATACTCTTTGATGGCCAAGCAGGCATGAATCAGGAGAAAGGTAGCCTGCAGTTCTCACTGAATTGTATTTTCCCATGTTTCTGAGTTTCCATCTTCCACCAACTTTTTCCATTCTTTGTGTTTTGCTTTGGGATCTCATATTTTGTAATGTTTTCTGTCTTGAATTCTGCAATCTTTATCTCAACAACAACTTCTGTCTCTAATTTATCTTTGTTATCTCCTATGGGTCAGCTCTAGAGCCTTTCTCACAGTTCCTTTTCACAGCTTATTTCCTCTGAAGTCAGAGCCAAAGTTACACAGCTGGACCACATCAGATCCCAGCCTTGGATCCTTAGACCACAGAAACAAAGCCATGGAAAGAAGCAGAAGGTTACAGAGGGTTTAAATACTGAAGAATATAGAGCATTTCTAGAAGCAAATTGAAGGGGGAAATTTATGGGGGCTATATGAATATACATGTGGTGTTTCTCCTATCTGAACATAAATTTGGTGACAGTGAGAATTAGAAAATCGGGAAATGTAATTTGTTGACAACAAGGAATAATATCTTGCGTAGTTTGAGATGGGAGAGAAATCATCTGATGATGCCTTCCACAATGGTAAGAGATAATAAGAGAAAAGAAGGAAAGATTCAGGAAAGGACTCGAAAATTATGACAAAAGGAGATTTTCTTTTCTATGACAGTGAAAAGGAAATGACAGGAAAGAAAAAGAAAAAGCAATAAATATGGTCTGGGTAGAATATGACCTTTGCTTCAATGTAGTGAAAGTAAGAGGGATCAATGAAAAGCCTGTTGCAGTGATGGAAAAGCAAATGCATATATGTGAGAGACTTTGCCTACAAACAAAGCATAAGTTTTACTGGTGCTGTGGAAGAAAATCACCAGCATTGAGAGAGAGGCCTTTCCAAAAGGAAGGCCAAATACTGGAGTCATTAGCAGTGGAAATTATATTTTAAGAGTGTGTGCACTACTGACAAAGAGTAAATAACGGACAAATTCAGTAAGGCAAAAAATATCTAGATACTTGCGCTGATTTTCTACCAGGAGAGAACATCTATGAGGAAATACTATAATGACAGCCTGAAAATAAGCACTTTTCCTTAGGATTCATTGAAATCATAATACTGATGAGTGATGAGAGTTGTATTTTGCCCTCATACAGAAAAATGCTTATGAATCTGCCTCACCTCAAATGTGTTCTTATATATCCCTTGGCACTATAGTCAGCTAGCTGCAGCAACTTCTCTTGTGATCCAAATCCAGATCTGGGAAGATAGTAGTAGGAATAAGAAAAATATTGTAGAAGGAAAGGACAAAATCAGGGCTTCCAACCCAGGAAAAAATTAATATCCTCTATCCAGTCTCCACGTAATAATTCGGCATCATACTTCCTTACTGCCTGATTAGTATTTTTTTATCATGCTTTATGAGAAAGACTAATGTAATTATAGTTTAGCTGCATTAGTTAAAAAATAGAAAAGGAAAATGATAAGATTCAATTAAAAATTATGCTAATTTGATCGGATAGAAAATTGCTTATGTAGCGTACAAACTTATTACTAAGATATATTGGCTGCCTGTAGGAAAAGTTTCACAGTGCTTATGAGTATTTATTTTATAGTAGTTCATTCCACAACAAGGAACAGTTAGGGAAGATATTTCTCTTGAAAGAGATAACACCTGTCTGAATTTATTATCAAGTTCAGTGGAACCAGTTCTAAGAAAGAACCTGGACTGGCAGTTTGGGTATGTTAACCTGCCATGACACAGAGATACTGCATCTCATTATGGACAAACTGGTTTGCCTTTTAAGAGTAGGTAATACAACATCCAAGGGAGTCCATGCTGAGCACAGAGCTAATTTGGTTCTACTACATCTCTTTTGTTAGGTCTCAGAAGATTTAGTAGCTCCTCTTTGCAGCAGGTTCGGGCACCACACTTGTTTGCTGTGCTTGTGAGAATACGCATACTCTTTAGTTATGTTGCAGTTTTAAGGTTCTTTTTCCTGTTTATAAGTGAATTAATGCAGACCTACCAATAACCTTGGTCTGTGATCATTCAGCCTTACATAAAGGTGTGGTAGCAATTTCTAAAACAACTGCATACTCAGAAACACACACAATATAGACACCTTGAATAACACTAAGGTACTTATGGCTAATAAGAAGCAAGATAGAATGAAAGGTTATTACATTATGTTCTTTAATTACTCAGTGCTCTATAATTCCACTTTACATGAAATTATTTTTAAATATGCTTTTGTAGAAACTTTATTTCCATTGATCCATAGCTTATGCCTTAGCATCAGCATGCCTTATATATTTAATCTAGGATGTATTGTAGCCTGCAAAAGAAATAGAAAAATATGAATCAAGCAAAACATAGTCTTTCAAAAATCAAAATTTAACAATTCCTACTCTAAGCTACTCCCTAGCATTTCTGGGAAATAAAAAACAAAGGAATTCTCCATCCAATACAGATTCTGTAGTTTCTTGTCTCAATTGGAAAACTCAATTAAAGGCTTGCCGCAACAATGTCATACTATCGAGTGAAAGCACGGAGGATGGACTAGCAATGTCTTGTGTGAGTTTCCACTTGCACAATACACCTAAGTATTAATACCAAAACAGCAAAACCATGCAGGCTTACAAACCAATCAATGCAAGCCAGCTACAAGAGAAATTTGACCTAATCTCCGTCAGCAAATCAGGAGAGTATGGACTGGATTAAGTGGCACTTGAATCCATTCCAAAAGACCTGGAAGATCAGAGGCTGTAGCACTCCTCCTGTGACAGTGAGGTCTTGCTTTAGAGATCATCTGTGAATCAGAAAGAAAGGAGAATTTAGCTTAGGTTTCCAGGAAACTGCCTTAACTTCTAGATCACATTCTAATTTTTGGTTTATAAAACCTGACTCTTCCCATGAAATTATTTGCAGAGTGCAAACAAATTTGAGCAAAGTCTTCAGAGAACTAAAATACCTTTAATTGACAAATGGATTAACTTATATGAAAAAGTCCAGTACTAGTCCAGCTTGGTAGAATATTTTTTCTTTTAACACAAGATACCTGAGAGCTCAATGTTTAATCTAAAGCAATTCCAGTCTATTTATTGGTGAGTGCATTAATAAAGAGGGGAATTTTTCCTTTCCAGCTCACACACCTGTTAGACAACACTGTGAATGTACCTTGAAGTTCTTTTCAAATAGCATAGAATCACTCAGACACATGTCTTGTTGGTGACTGGCAATAGGGAAAACAAATATCACACAATGATTCTTATCACTGCCTGCTTTTAATACTAGAACCAGTAGTTTATTTGTCATTCAGGCTCCTTCTCCACCTACAGAGCTGCAATTCTTGGACTCGTAGGAGTATGAAGGAACAAGATGATCAGAACGAGAAACAATTGACCCTGAGCTTCCTTCACATCAGGAGGGAGGAGCTGAGATAATAGTACTTGAAGAGAATGAAGCAGCCATATGCAAATCTGCCCTGAACTTTCAGGGGAAATTACTGATTTCCTGGAGTTCCCCAGGCTGTCAATTGTTGCTGATCATCCATGAGATTGCCACCAATACACTGCCAGCTATGACCTTAAGAATATCAAGAGTGACCACCGACATCTTGAGGGCAAGGCATCTCCACTTTTTCTGAATTGCTGTACATTCTTTGTCTCACACACTTGCTGTGTTAGTAGGATGAGCTGGTCCCTTTACCATTCTCATCTGAATTTAGTGAATATTTGTTTCAGTTTCTGATAGATTGCAAGGGAAAGGCTATTTCTGACAAAGTTGAAGTTGTACTGCGATTGGCAGTTCTGGTGGAGCTGTTGGGTGGGGAAATCATCCCAGATTTATACAGATTTTGAAGATCTCTCTACTAGAGGCCAGTCCAAAAATTCAAATAAAGACCTTGTAAAGCACTTGCTATGATCTGCCTCCAACTGCTAAGTCGGTATATTTGTTTGAAAGACATAGGACAATGGGCAGAATGATTTTCACATGATCAGCAGGATTAAAATTTGTCTATATGCTCTTTTCTATCAAATTAAGTGCAAAAATGTGATAAGGTTACTGTATATTATTACCATCAACATAATTCTTAATAGGAAGGATTTCACTCATTATTTGTAGATTGCTGCTTTACAATTATATCTTAATTGACTTGATCACCAACTTGAACACTTAATATTACAGTATCATTAACCCATTTATTATTCATCTAAATCATACAATTACAGCAATTAAATTGGTTGCCTTTTAAACAGTTGGTTCAGTGATCTTTAATTAGACATCTATGAGCTGAATTACATGGAAAAGGTGCTAAATGTTACAACTGTAGTGAAGGGGGTTATTTGCCATATTATAAGGGATTGATTTCGACAAATGTCGTATATGTTAAAACATGCTGCCTCCTTGATGATTTCTGGTTACCTAGTGATTCTGGGACTACATTCTAAATAGCATGGTAGGAAGATTCATCTTTTTAAAAACTCATCATAGGTTACTTCTAAAAGGACCATAAACATAATGAAACAATTCAAATCCAGAGTTTAACTTGCAATATAGTAAATGCTTGGTGGGTCTTTGCCTTCGTTCTTTTTCACAGAAGAGAAAATCCTGGTTTCATGTTTACACGCTAGATGTGCTTCTTTAGACCCTGTCTGCATCCTCTCAGATCTTACTTTCTATACATACTATTCTTCTGTTCTAAGAATTTAAATTTCTAGTGTGCTAGGCAAGAATTTTTGCTTTAAATACACAGAAAAAAATCCTACAGGGTTTAGTAGGAACCTTTCTGTTTCTGCAAAAACACCAGCTCAGTATTTCCTCTCAGTCATAAGGCCAAATTCAAGGTACAGAGAATGAAGCAGGAAACATAATTATGCTTCTATATAAATTAATGATTTGTTTAAATTTGTCTCAAACTCTGAATTCAGCTATAACCCCTAATCTCTAAGAAAACAGTAGAACTGCAAAACATTAAGGGAAGAATGATCAAAGAGCTGTACCTTTGTTTCCAGCCATATGAAGGGGAACTGAGCCACTAAGGATCTCCAGTCTAGAAAAGAGATGATCCAGAGGAGACATATTACAGATCTATAAAAACCTGAAAAGCAAAAAGAGGATGAAAAAAATTCATCACTGATTTTCTCTGCTAATACAAGAATAGTAAGAGCTATTAGTCCAAGTTAGTTGAAACAAGATGCAAAACCAAATAACCATGCACGACAAAAGTCGGAGTGCATCACAGACTCCCTGCTTTGACCAAACAGATTGCTTCAAGGAGGACAGGGACATAAGGCAGCCAAAACATATTACAGTGCTTCTTAGCAAAAATGTTTGGTGTTGTTTACTTGTTGGGATTTTGGTTTTGGTTTTGGTTTTTTTTTTTGGTTTAGATCACGTGTGAAAACAGAGTTTGTGGAAAAAGATATTTTAAAATTTTTCCATTTAAAACATTTAGCTTTCTTCACTGCAGAATAGCAGATCCCTCCTCCAGCTGCTTCTCCAGTTGCATTTTTTTGCATTGCATTCATTGGCGAGGGGTGCCACATGTCTGCTGCCCTTTCATGAACAACCATTTCCTCTGGCTTGTTTTGCACCTTCCTTCAATTAACCAGTCAAAAGAAGGACACAGAAAAAAACTTTTCTTCTGAAAGTTTATCCAGTACAGAAAAAATTATTAGGAATATTCCCATTCCTCAATCCAAATCTATGTTTTATTATATTTTGCTGCAAATTCAGCATTTCCTAAGTTCTGAAATGCTGAATAACATGATAGTCAAGGGATATATGGTCAACCACAAGCTGAGATACAGGTTTGGTTTTTTGATTTCCATACTATCTTGAACGGTCCACATAATCTACTGTTTCACATCTCCTTACATGGAGTAGGGATAATATTTCACTATTTCCCATGGATATGAGAACAAAAATCATTCATGAATAAGAAGACTCCAGGTATTATGCTGATGATCACACAAATGCTTAACAGGATAATACAGTATTTTGGCTGTGCTCTCTTATTGGAGCCATTAACAATTCAAAAAATTCAATTATTAACTTTAAGAAATTAATAGAACTAATGGTAGTAAATTTCACAAAATCTTTGATAACATTCTCAAACTGGAAAATGACGAGTATCAAATCATTAACAGGGGAGTAAATTAGAAGTGCTGCAATAGGGAACAGGAACATGATAGGTGAGATCATTTATGGAATCTAGTGATTTAAAGGTTCTAAAAACCAGGGTAATTTTTCTGCTATTGAATGATAAAAGGAAAAAAACTGCCTCATTACATTTCTTAACTAAGACTTATCCAGTAGTACAACAAAAACAGGTAGATCACATCAGTGATATCTAAGTCTAGGAACATTTCCAAGAACCTCAGGGTAATTCAAACTGTATCTCAACTAATGACACATTTCCACCTCTTTTTTCCCCAACACCTTTTAACCATCTTCTATGACTTGTGATGCTATTCACTACTGATGTCCCTCCTCCGTCATTTCAGAAAAGTCTTTCTCAGATTATATTTCAAATTAATTTTCCATAATTTGCCTTTTTCCCATTGTGTCCATAATTTCTTTTTTATATGACTGGTCAAAACAAATGTCACAATTCCATTTATCTATTTTCATTTTGCACTGCAGCCTTTGCACCACGACTTACAGGCTATGTTACAAATGAAAAGGGCCTGTGAACCAAACCCTGGCCTCAAGGGCAAGCCGCTAATTTTCTTCCATTTTCTTTTGTTAACCCTCTTTATAGATAAGATTTTTTTGCATATGGGAAAAGTAAATATCTCTTGCTGACACTTCTCCATGTAACAGTGGAGGAGATATATTTTCTTCTAAACTTATTCCTGTTTACTTTTAAATAGTTTTTTGTCAAAAAAAAAAAAAGAATGAAGAGTTTTTATGAGCACATTCACTGCAATAAGGGTGCTGACACAAAGTTAGTGAAGTATATGCAAGACAATGTTTATAAAATCTATCTGACATGGAGAAGATTATTGTAATAGGCTTTTTTGTGAGTCAACTGTGTACTTATAAAACCATTGCTTAATTAATTAAAAATAAGTTAATAAAGTCATACAGCAGGAATATTTTAATTCCTTCAACATGGTTTCATGCACATTGAAACTTCCATCTTTTTTTTTTCTTTCGCTCACAGAAATTTTGGCAAAATTCAAATAGAAATGTGATTTTACTCAGATAGCCCACTGTCATTCAACAGTAATGTGAAGAAGAGCTCTTCAACATATTAAAAAAAAAGATTGAAAATTTTGAATGCATTAACTTTCCTCTATTCTTGTATCTGGACATTTTTTCCAGTTATAAAAAGTTTCTTCAAGCAACATGTCACACAAAACACTTCAGCATCTGTAGATTAATTCAAGAAAATATTAAAACATCAACAGGTTATATGCTCTTAAAAATTTCTTTCAGAACCCATATTTTTAACTACCCACTTCTGAACTACCCTCCTGATGTTTCAACCAGAGCATAAATCTCACCTTCTGGCCTGTAATATTTGTAATATCTGTAAATATTGAAATTACCCTGCAGAAGTGTCTTTCTCTCTCTCCTAAGCTTCCTTCTAAGATATGGGTGGTTCCATCCTAGTTTTAGGTGTCTTTTAAAATATCTATTGTCACCTGGAAGAAATAGAAACCTATAAACCTTTCTTTACCCAGCTTATCTCAATAGATGACTTGCTTAGGCATTGGCTTATATTTACTTGTTTTTCTCTAAGTCTCAGCTGCAGCTATAACCATGGAAACGTATAAACTTCCTTAAACAATTTCTCTATTCTTAGCAAGATTTTCTGTGAATTGATATAATCGTAACATTTCATCTTTCAGTCATCAACATAAGGATTAGTAGGGATGAACTGATAAGACCATTAGTGGGCTCCTATTTGAAACCAAAATGAGCATGTGGGCTTATTTCCAGCTCACAGCATTTTGACAGTGATCTTGCCATCATTCTGAGCTGCTTTGTATTCTATCTAGGACCAACAGCTGTGTTTATTCATTTGCCTTCAGCTGTTCAGGGGTCACAGTGACACGATGGTATTTCCATCTTTAAATATTGATGCAGAGTTAAGCTACAAAATAAAGGTCTCAAGTCCCTGCTTCCTTCAGAGGGTGGAAACTTTTGGGAAGCTCTGGAGATGAAGGATAACTTTGAGGCTATCATTAAAGGGTATGGCCTGAAAAAACATGACCTGAAGCTAGGTAATGAGCAGAATCCAAAATCTTCTCCCAAGAAACTAAGAATGTGGTGTGCAGTATTCCAGTGGTGTTCCTGTCCACAGTGTGAACCAGCAGGGACAACTTCTTCATGTAATGTGGTGTCCCTCATCAAAGGATAATCTGGCTGTCAGTGCTAACATAGAGGCAAAGACCTCAAAAATCTACTCAAGCCCAATGCTCATTCGTTGTGCAAACATACGGATGGATACAGCAGGATTCCCTAATATATTTTGCATTACTTATTTACTGTTCCCCCTATGCCTGTTTAAAAGCAGTCTTCAGTCTCCCACAGGGGTTTCAGTTAATACTTTGTTTCTGGTCTCATTATCGAATCATGTGTATTTTTTATTTCCTACTATGATTCATGGGAAGCATTCATGCTTCAGTTGCTGCATTTTCATGTTCAGTGAATAAAAGTTAGTGTCCTTTGAGTGACCTCATGTCCTCTCTCCCCTGCCTCCAAGTGATAAAAACAGCTACCACTCTGCTAGACTTGCAGAACTGGATGAGGTGTTTGCTTCTAGGAAGCTTCTTCTCTTTCACTGACTTTCCCATCTTCCTTCATTTTAGAGCTTCCACTTTCAAACTGGCAGAATAAGACTGGGCTGGTCTCTTGCCTCAGTCAGAAAAGTAGTTATCCATTTCCAGGAGTGCATAGACATATAACTTCACTGGTGAATAACACAAATGCATAACTTGAAGTTTCCCCTCTCCTTACTTGCAATTCTATTTTCTGTACTTCCTGAACCCTCATAGTGGTGAAATTGCTTTCAGGCTTATAATGGTTCAAAAAGAGGCAAAATGGAACCACTAAGCTACCCATTCCAAACTGCTTTCTCTAAAGAATGCCTGAAGTCCTGTCCTCCAACTAATTGCAACACAGAACACCTCTGAACTGGAACTGCAGGACATTTGCTAGACAGACTGATGCACCCAGACTCCTTCCATGCATACACATAATTTGAAAAATGACTGTCTGAAGGGTTCCTCCCTCCTGTGTGGAAGAAGTCACAGTGCTGTCTTTACACTGACTGGCAGCCTCTGCCTGTTCAACAGCAAAACAAATCCTCTAACCTATTGTGGTGCGTAGTGGTATGTAAAAATGGACAATGGACAAGACTAGCATTTTTATTTTCCTCTGAGGACACCTGAACTAGATATCACTCAATATCTTTGAGTGATCTAACAAAGTAGAGGAAAAAATCAAAAGGAAAAATATATTGAAAACTCTTCACATTTTGAAATTTGAAAATGGAGTCAGAAAGAGAAGGGCATAAGAGTTTAAGTCTGTCTTAAGCACCTGTAGACATGGTCTTTGTCACCAGTCGCCACCAACATTCATAGCCATCAATTTGGCTAAGAAAGAGCAAAGATGGATCATCAAGTGGTGCCAGTGACCAAATAAAAATTTAAGTTGGAGAAATTTTCAATATCATAAAAAATATTTAATCAGAGTACCTTTTCCCCTAGTACCCTTCCCTCTTCACCTCAGAGTTCTGAGTAACAACAGTTCCACTAGTCTCAGAGATACCTCCTACACAATCCACCAGCTGTGGGAGCATTGTTTCCTACCACAAGGCATTAGGTACAGAAGCTTCTGCACTTTCCTTTCTGAATTTCTTTGCCAGGGAAAGGCAATATTTTCTCCTAAGGTTTTACAATCCCCATGGTTCTTCAACAGTGGCTAGGAAAAGTACAAAAACAAGGTAGATTAATAAATATTAATTAATGGAGCAGCTACAAAGTGATATTAAAGAATAATTGCAATAAAATTCAAGGTTGACCTGAGGTATTTTCTTTCAGAGTCTTTCCAGAGCCTTTCCATTTTCCAGTATTTTCCACATTGCATCACAGAAAAATCTGACCACCAAATATGAGGGGGAAAAAACCCCACTGCTACCCTACTTACCTGCCTGATAGTCCATGTAACAAAAGTCCACATATCCTTTGAGGAAAATCAGTGCAAAGTAATGCATTCCTTTATTGTCCCAGTAGACAGACCCTTTAGAATAAAGCCTAGGACTTGGTTCTTAAACCTCATTATTAGGTTAATTTTGTTGGCAAGTTCCTCACAATAGTTATCTTTTGCAAGCCAGGACAGTCTGTAAGCACAAGATATAAATGGCCATAAGCCATTACTACTGCCAAGGTAGTAATTTTTGGAAGTTCTGGTTGCAAAAGTTTCAGAGTGTGTTAGAGATTACTCAGAGAGATTTTGGCTGTTAAGTTGCAATTACAACTCTGCTGTCTATTTTTCCAATAGCAGGCTGATCAATAGGGTTTTGTTTATTCAAATATCTGAAAATATCTGAGGATTTTTCTTATCATCTGTATGGTAAGAAAATCTATTGGACAGCTCAAAGGAAACTACTGTGCCTGACCATCTGTGGAACTTCATGCCCTCATTTTATTCTCTAACCCTCCATTTCCCCTCCAACATTTTATCTCAGCTCTCATTCTGGAGAGTTCTTTGTGATGGACTGACAGTGTGACCAAATAATGCCTAGTAAAACAAATTTCCTGTCTTTTGGAAGTCCCAGTAGACTATTTCAATATACCAAGCAATAACTATGGCATTTGTTTTTAAGGATGGAAATTCTACTCCTACTTTCCATATTTCCCATGATAAAGGTTGTATGCTTGTAAGTGCTTCACTGATTTTTCACTCAAAACCAAAGAAGAATATCTAGACTCCTACCTAACATGTGTTTTTGAAAAATTATCCTAATTCCATTAATTCAGCTTCATTGCCAAATTTTGAACCACAGTACTAAAATTGCTTTCATTCTTCATTCAATGTACACTTGGAAAAAACTGTTTGTGCACTTAAATAGTATTGCATAATTTGTTAGAGGAGTTTTACAGGTCCTTTTGAGAGTGTGACCTTTAATTGTGCTGTTCTTTGGAGAAAAATGTCAGGTTTTATTATTCATTTTTTAGTTAGCATAAAGTGCAATACACTGACAAGGAAAGATATACTTAGACTGCACAAAAAAAGTTAAATTTCTGAGTAAAACATGGGGACCTTTGCCTAAATGCCTAAATGAAGGGGCTGTCAAACTTTAAAGAACAACCACAACTCATTGACTGAGAGAAAGACACAGACCATCTCATGCAATATTGCAGTGAGCATTAAATCACATATGCCAGTGGTGCAGATTTTTTTTTTTTTTAACTTTACCCTGTCTCTACCAAAATAACCTTTCTAGCACGTTCATTTTACAGAGTGGGGTTAATAGTTGCCTACTTGGCAGCTCATGCTAAATGCTAAATAAAATCAGGACCGGAGATACAGAGTGAGGGATGAATATTGGAACATTGTTCCTTATGAACAGTTCATAAATGGCAAAAAAACCTGGCATTAGAAAAGTTGTTACTGGTTTGGGCAAAATAGATGGTACTTTTAGGCTTTTGAAACTCTTAAAAGTAACTGCAGGAGGAATTCAATAAAGGGCAGTTGGTGAGACATATGCCTGACATAGAAAAGCTCCCTCAAGCCATGGGGAATCTATGGGAGTCTAATGCCCTGAAGCATAAAGCCATATTCCTTACACAATTTTATTGTAGCAGGTTCTTATGCCAAAATAGACTCAATACAGAAATAAAGTAAAAAACAAAATATGTTCTAATACATCACTTTATTGCCCTGCAGGGGGGTTTACTGAGAGGTGCTGTTGCTCTTCTCTGTAATCTTGTTGGCCACAGCATGCCTTCAAAACGTTAAAGAGACACAGAAATTATATGTCAGGACTGAAACCCTCATTTCTATCAGTTTGTGCAATGTGGATTTTGAGAGAGATAAGTTCTGTCAAGAAATATTCCTGATTTCTTGCGTGCCATAGTAAAAGGCAAGCAAGAACCCCCAGCAGCCCTTATCCCTTCTTCTGTGGAGGACTCTGGCATAAATAAACAGGGAGACTGAACAGCAACCCATGTGCACATATCCACATGGCCATATAATAAATGCTCATTTATTCCAAAGTGTCTGATATAGTATTCACTGCATATTTTTGGTTGGCCCTGGGGGTCTAAAAACATGGTACAGGCACAAATCTTGGCCTGTCATTAATTCACACCATGGAGACAATAAAATGGATACTGCAGAAACTCTCTAAATATGCTGAGGAGAAAAACATGTTCTGTCATGCAGCACAACATATCAACCCAAGGTGTATGGCTGTAACCTCAATTTTTTTATGCTTGGTTCTACTCCAGCATGGGTTTTCTCCAGGGCACTGGGCTGGATTTGTGTGTAGTTGCTCAAAGCTGTTACATGCAGGCTATTGTTTCAGTACTTCTTCCCATGGGTTCCTCTGTACATGCAGTGATTATTTTACCCTTGCTGTAGCTTAAACATTTTGTTAGGAGAATTCTTCAAGGCTATGAAGGGTATCAGCCAGGACATCAGGATTTCTCTATATGTGTCTACAGGAATAATTATATTTTGATCACAACATACGGATAAAGGAAAATTATCTCATTCATATTCCCTTTTTTTTTGTTTTTCTTTAGTAGGATTTTTTTTTCCTTTTTTTGTTTTGTGGGGCTTTTTTCAGAGCGTGGGTCAGAAGGAATGCTGGCTTTTTTTGTTTTTCTCACTGTTTCCATGTTATTTTCTTAAGAGAATTATTTTATGGCTGCAGAGACTTTTGGAAATTAGCAACTTATTTTGCACAGAGCACTCATCACAATTCCTTCATCCTGTCTCCAGCATTTGTCTTTCTGTCCATCTCTTTGACTTTAGGGATGTACCACAGTCTCACAGACTGCATCACAGAAATTCAATAATAGCACTAATTATACTAATACTTCTAAAATTAGTTCCTATTCTGACAGTCTGAACTTTTTTACCATAGGAAGAATCAGTGTAATGATCCAGAAACATAGAATTCAAAGTGACTCAGATTTGAGTAACTTTTAGTGGATTCAAGGCAATATTTCAAAGAAACTATTGTTGAAGTCATGGCAAAAATGATCTCATTGCAAAATACCAAAACCTAAAAGCTGGGACCTACGTGCACACCTGAAAAACAACAGTTAAGCTTACCATTCAGGTGCATTTAGATTTGAGACAGCTATTGGATACAGGGTCAGGATAACATAAATTACAAAAGAAAAAGGAAAAAAAACCTCAGCAGAACTAGACATTTCATCTTGGCTATGTCTAGTCTGTTGTTAAAATGCTTTGCTGCTACATGAGAACACTCAAGTTCTCTTTGAAAACAACCAATTTTTGAAGAAACGCATTTTGTGAAGCTGCTACAGTGAATTCCTCCAGACCACTTGATTTGTCCTTTATGCCTTTGTGTCACTTGACTCAACTAATTCTGATATTATTGTTTGTGAAAATATTCAAACATAATGTTTCTTTAATGGTAATGCCAGGAACAGTCATACAGTAGACATGTAAATGCAGGTAATCCTGCTGTCATTCTCTTTTCTTTAAATTTTTAAGAAAAGTTTAAAAATATACCCTAAATATATCTTGTTAACTCAGAGGAGAAAGAAACTAGGAAAAAAGAATTAAATGCTGTAACACAACTGAAAAAAATAAAGTTTTGCATTGCAATTTCTATGGCATTCTCAAAAGAGTGCTGTGCAAGAGGCAAGATAACTGAGGGTTTTTAAAAAGCTAGGAATACTGCAGCTGGAAAAGGAGGTTAAAATCACCTAATGAATTCATAGTGAGTTTGGCACAAGGCAAATAGGGGACAAATTAGTCAGTAATACATTCAGGTTGAGAACTTGAAGATATATTCTGCTCAGAAAAAGAGTGAAGCACTGGAACTTTCTTGTCAGAGTATTAGAAGCTAGAAATCAACACACTTTCAAGGTAGGGTGCAATTAGCTTTTAAATGAAATTCTGCAGCATGGCTGCCTGGGATAACAGCAAGCTGGCTCATGCACAGACCTTTTCAGTCTTCTGCCTCTGACCTCATGCTGGTTCCTACCATTCCAGGATTACATAATCTTTTTTGGCTACGTGGGGCTCATCACAAAGGGTTTTAGTGTTTTATTAAAAATGTAGAGTGGAATTTGTACATAGAGAATAGGAATTGTTGTATATTTCTGCATCTATTCACAGATGCTTGTGTGTGGGCAGACTAGATTACCATATTGTAACTTTTACAGCATTTATCTTACCAAATTTCTTCATTTCCAAACAGTGTTTATGTTTAGAGTATATTTATCCTGTAATTGTTCAGTTGATTCATGGGCAGGGGGAAGAAGAGTAAATATTTAGTATACTTTGACATTTTTATCAGTTGTCCGTAAAGGACAGGAAAATTTCTTCCTATTCCACTAGCAGAGAACTTTGGTTCCACAGTTACAACAAGAAGCTGTGAGTATTAGATTTGAATAAGCACATGGCTTGAGTCTGACTTTGTGTGCAAAAGTAGATGCAGACCACATTCAGCCAGATCTGGCTGCTCTGAATATCCTCCAGCTGAGAATTTTGTGCAAAAAAAGGCAGACATGGGGAGTATTGATCATGTCTAAATGTAAGCATCTACAAGAAAAACTGGTACACAAGACTCCTGTATTCAGCAGGGATACACCTTGCATTATGCAGCAGAGCAAGGAATTTCTATGCATCCATCATTATCATTTAGAGATAGGTTACATACACTCTTACAGATGTGCAAAAGACATCTGCTTCACACTGGCCTTCCAGTCATCAAAGTAGGACTATACAAATGGTTAAAAGCCAGTAATTTAAACACTAACCAGGTAAAGGAAGTTGAGGGGGGCATTTCTTTGTCTATAGTTCTTTTCATTTGCCCCATATAGAGTGAGCACTTCTCCACTGGAGAGAAGTATATTCAGATCTTACAGTCCATCCTGATTAATGCCACCTCTTCTCCAAATAAGTGTTAAATAGACAAAAGGATCTAAAAGAAGTAGAGGGTAGAAGGAATGCATTGCTCTCCAATGCTCTCTCCTGAAATGAAACTTATGAATCTTACTCAGAACAAAATCACTCTGTCCAAGCAAGCTCCACCACATAACAATATTTTTCACCTACAGAACACCAGTCCCAGAGCCCCACATCAAAACTCCATTGTTTCAAAATACCCAGGTTCCAGGCTTTCTGGCTTAGAGCTTCCCACACTTCCCAAATCCAATACGGAGCCCCAGTAGTCCAATCTCATGTGTCCCAAGATCCCCATCACCAACTCCAACACTTTCCATCAACCCCCAGACCCATTCAACTCCAATACCCCCACATCCCTCTTCTGCCTCAGCCTTGACCTAAATCCCTTCCTGTACTGAACTCCTGCCCTTTCCCTCCCAGCTCTGCTCTCCCCCAGCCCCAGCCTTGCTCACACCTGGGGCTCTGGGGACCCAGGCCAAGCACAGCAGCTGCCAGCACTTCAGATCCAGCACTGCGTGAACATCTCCTCGGTCCTCTCCTGCTGCCTGCCTCCACTCACTGCTGTCCTGCCGTTCCCTGCTGCAGCCTGCCAAGCTCTTTGTGGAGCTTCTGCTGGAAATTCCCAAAACCCAGGCACGAGCTGCACTTGTTCAGAAATCTGCTTAGATGGTGCTCCAAGGACAGAAAAGGAAGACATATCAGGGAAACCCAGGCAGCTGATAGCTCTGCCCCTGCAGGGAGGCAGCTCTGTTTAGTGGCAATAAGGACTCTTGTTTTAATAATAGAACACAGCACTGAGATTTAATTAGCACTTATAGCAACATATGTCAGAGAGCAATAGCTTTCAGTAGGCACTTGTGAGAATTGTCAGGACTGCAGACTCGGTGCCAGGGCAATTCTCTGCTCCTGCTTGCAGTGATCTAAGTCCCATGTAACTTTCATTGTTGATCTTGTTTTTCACTGAGAAAAAGAAAGAAACATCTGGGATGACTGTTTATCTATTCAAACCATACTGTCTGTCAGTTTGTTATCTCTTCCTGTTTTAGGTGACACCTTCTAGCTTTCCACCCCAGTCTTGGCTGTTCAATGATGAGTAAACAGTAATACTGATGCTAATAAATTACAGCTCCTGAATGAAGATTTTATGGTTGTCGGTATCAAGCTGTTTTCTGCCTTGCAGCAGAATATGGCATCACATTATTTTTTCATTTGTTCAGATGTATTCACTATCAGAAAATGTAATTAAATTGAAATATGCCATCTGTGAAATTCCAGATTGGTTTTAAAAACCGTTAACATGGATGATGTGAAGCTTGTCTGTGCTGTACCATTGATAAGAAAACACAAATCAGGTGTGATATTCATTGAATCCTAGAATGGTTTGGGTTGGAAGGGACCTTAAAGACCATCTAGTTCCAACCCAAGTGCCACAGGCCAGGGATATCTTCCACTAGAAGGCAGCTTTGTTCTGAATGAATGACAGGAAAAGTACTCAGGAGATATTTATTTCTCAAGGTGCATTTCTAAGCTGTATCTTCTCTGCCGGGCCACGGCATACAAAGAAAACATTCACCCAATTATGAATCCTACTTCAGAAGTCACTTCAGGCCCCTGTGAGTGCCCTACCAGACACTGAGAACTCAGTGTGTGAAGGACAAAAAAAAAGGGAAAATACTTTTGTGTGGCTCATTGAAGTCTGATTCTTATGTCCATGGGTGACTGTCAGACAGAGAATACCAGACTTCTTTTTGGAGGAATGCAATCCAGTTTGCAGCAAAGTTCTGTCTTCAAACTTGGTGTATTGATCTTCATGTCTTTTTTTTTTTATTTTACACAGAAAACTGCAAAACATTTTCAACTTTTACTATTCTCTGGATCCAAGATTCTGATTCAGATCCTAAAATTAATTCCATTTTTCTTTCTTGGCTTGTACAAAGCCATGGAAGAAGCCTTGGAATTTCTAGTACAAATACACCTTCAGAAAAAGAAAACTCTTTTGAAATGTTTTAAAAAGCCACCCTTTTTGTTTTATATCAAACTGTCGTTCTGAACAGAACAAAGTTTCCTTTTTTCCTATTTTCATCTAATTCTAAGACTTCTAAATAGACAGGATCATTGTGTGTGCTTCACTTGCAAGATTTTGTTCCCTTCAGAGCACAGTCATAAAAGGGAAGCTTTTTCCTCCCATTTTAATTTAATTAAAAGCCAAGATATGTTTGAAGCTTTGAGCTGATCCAGGGAGAAGATGAATGATCACGGATATGTTAGCAGAGTTGTGGGTAGCAAGGTTACAGCCCTTCCCTCAGTGAACACAAGTGCAGGCAACAGGTATGAAAGCAGTCCCGTGATTCTCACAAAATAAGTTTATTAAAACTAGACAGGAAGGTTAAGATAAATAAGAGTTTGAAGGCAATGAGAGCTTAAAGTATTTCAGTCTCCAGAGGTGAGTGGACTTGAATGGCCTACAATCATGCAGGTAAGGGAGAAGGTTGTAATGCCTGGCATTAAGGGAAAAGCACATTACACTGGTTCTTTCATCATTATCTCATGAACCTTTCAAGTTATTCTCCTCTCAGTAGCAATTTGTCTCAAAGATTTCCAGAGCAATCCCAAACTAGACTGACTCATTCATATCCATTTAAATCTCTTCAGCAAACTGTGCACAATCTTAGAAATTTTTCAGAAGCTGTTAAATTTTGCTTTATTTTTTTATCTATCCATTTATTAACTCCATGTTCACACCTTGGATTTTCCTTAACAGGATGATGTATCCAGCCTAAGCTCCAAAAAATCTTGTACGTTCCTACAGGCAGAATACTTAAGTGTCCTTTTCTTTCCTTTGAGCACTCTAGTTCCATCACCTTCTGTACAATTCTCTGCAAAACTGTGTATTTGTTGAGGTAGTTACACAGCCAAACTTTGGGCATCCCCTTTCAGATAGTTAAGTTGGGATCTCAGGCTTGCTGTATATTGAAAAGAGACAGAAAAGCAATTCAGACCATGTCCAGACTCATGTCAGGATATGTTCTCAGTTTCTAGTTCTGTTGCAGCATATCTTTCCTATCAGACCTGACCTTCCTCCTTGAATTTTCTCTTTATAGAAACCAAGGCACCAAAGAGGAGAAATTAAATAGAACAGGATATTCTTGTATCACTGTTTTGGCATTTAGGTCCATTCATGGTGCACATGGTGTTAGAGAACATTGTCAGATTTCACAACATAGACTTCCTCTCTAAAATTCCTGTGGAAGAGCCTAGTGTCTGCCTCCTAATATTGTTTATCTGGATAGAAATTAAATTATCAATATTATGTAAAGTTTCTTGGTAGGTCTGCACCTTACTATTTATCCTTTCTAATGGAAATATCCATTAACAGTAAAATAAATATTCATTACTCTTATACTTTTCATAGTCAAAGTAAACATTTTTACATATGCACAGTACTTGCAATTTACTTCTCATCCACTGGGCACTTGTTCAGATCAATAGAAAATATTCAGCAGACAGAAGTTCTGCACTAACTACATCTATTAGTGTCTTACAGCCACGTTGAACAGGTGCTGTGTTGAGCAGCTGTGCTATGTAAATTAGCTTACAAGCATTTCAATTCTGTTCATCACTGACATATCTGCTAAGCCAGAATTTTTCAGCTAATCTGTCATTATCCTCCAAAGTTTACCTCAATCCTGTTCTTAGCATAGATTTTACCCCTGGTGCACATCGGTATAGTTGAAGTCTACAAACCACCTTGACTCTCTGCAGTGGTACACATGAATCAGTTTCCAGACTGACAGCTGCTTGTCTAAAATAGACCTGAGCTAAAAACCTTACTCAAACTATGCAATCTCTGCTTTGCAGTTGATGTTGATTTGTCGAGAGTAAGTGTAAAAGGCATCCTGCTTTTCAGTGGGCTGTGACTCACAAAGCACAATCCAGGTTTAAACATCAGAGTACAAAGGTATCCCATTGCCAAGTCAGACTTCTTCCACAGGAGTGGTTCCCAAAAGTAGATGATTGCTCTCCTTAATGGAGATGACAGTAAAAATGTTAAAAGCCAGAAGAAACTCATACATTCTCTCAGCTGCTGAAATGTTTAAAAAACAGTATCTACATGTTCTTGAAATTTTATTTCCAAGTATGCAGACAAATCTATCTTGAGGAACTTTTTTCAGCACCTGTAAAGACAGCTGCAAACCTATAGGACTGTGTGACAGCAGAGCCCTAGGCAGAGATGCAAGCATCCTACATTTTTCAGAACATTTAGCTTCTTTAGAAGTCTCCCCCAGGTCCCCAGACGGTCACAGTTTAATCAGTTTATTAAACACATCCATGCAGGTTGAAGTCAATCTCTTTTTCCAGTCACCTCAGCAGCAACCATGCAGTTTCAGTTTTCTACAAAGCCTCTAGGGTATCCACAGTGTGCTTTTACATGGCTGTCATTCCAACTCCTTTTCTGTCAGCAGCACCTTCACACTGGGAGTGCTATTTATGGAGCTTCCTGAATGTTTTATGGGGACCTACACCTCTGTTTTGGCAGCAGAGTTACACCCTGAAAATTAGCACTATCACAGCTGTCTTTACCAACTCGGTATATAATTTGCACAGGTGTTTTCTTTGAAACAACTTGCATTAAACATCAGATTGCAGTCTATCTGGGTGTACTAAAAAAACCCAACATATCAACATTTATGATTTTGAAAGGGAAATTTTTCTCCCCTTCCTTTTTTTTCTTTCTTTTTTCAATCTCAGAGCTATGTTTAACAGGAAAAAGAAACCCTGCAAACGTTGCTTCCATGCTTCCAACCCTAACCCTAACCCTAACCCTAACCCTAACCCTAACCCTAACCCTAACCCTAACCCTAACCCTAACCCTAACCCTTTCCCTACCCATGGAATAATCTTTATTGGTAGAAACAACAAATAATTCAGAGCAGGATTACAGGGAGACATTAACAGTGTGCCTAATTCTGGAGGTCTTTAAAAACATTTACATCTACAAAGCTGCATAATTTTCAAACTCTGACTGAAACGAAATCTGTCCGTGAGAAGAAATATCCCTGTATGGACAGCTAGACTCCTAGAGTTCCATTCAATAGAACAAATGTAGGATTCCATTTTGCTTTTTTAATTTACAAACTTACTAGTGCACCCTCTAAAGAATATAAAATGGGACATAGAGCACTCCTCTGTTTGAAAGGAAAAAATTGAAGTTGCAGGGGTACCTTCAGGATCTCAAATGCCACTTGGTGCTTTGGTTGGACAACTGTTAAAGTCCTGAGATCTGAAATTCATGGCACCTGTTTTGACATGTCAACAACGTTTGAATCCATGTCTGAGTGGCTAACTGAGA